TCTCTCTCTCTCTCTCTCTCTCTCTCTCTCTCTCTCTCTCTGACTAGATAGAAAAAAAAAAAGACTAGATAGATATTTCCATAGCCATTACCTGAATATTTAAAAGCAAAAGTGAAGGTTTGCTGAAACTCAGTTTTCAGTTTGTGCCTGGCTGATACCTTGGACTCTTATAAAAACAGCAGGCCTTTTTCTCTCTCCTGGTGGACAGTGACTAGATTTGGAATGACTCTGTGTGTGTGTGTGTGTGTGTGTGTGTGTGTGTGTGTGTGTGTGTGTGTGTGTTTGGGAAGTGCATGTAGAGGTACAATTTATATGGTTTTCAGGGATTACCCTGAGTATACTGAGGTCACCATGCTCTTTGGCCTCCGTGCCTTGTTTGAGGCCAGGTTCACCACTGTCTATGCCAGGCTGGGTGCCCTGTGAGCATATCTACTTGCTAAATTGTCCTAGGTATGCTGGGATCACAGATGGACAGACACTACTGAACCCAATTGTACTTAGGTTTTGGGAATCCAAACTCAGGTCCAAACATTTGAGTGAAAGTTGTTTAAACAGACATTTCTGTGAGATTGTCTCTTCACATTATTGTGCAGCCATCAGTGACAGCTGCCCCAAATCAAAGGTCAGTTCTCTGAGCCCCTTGAAGACGAACGAACTTTTCCCTCTGCCTGGCAGCCGCTGGTCCGCTTTCTCACTGCAGCTCCTCCTGCACAGAGTGACTGCTTAGGTCCCTGAGTGCGTGTCTCAAGCTTCAGCCACAGTGGGTCAGGAGCGCATAAACCACACTCAGTCATTCCTCTCATGGTCCTCACAGTCCGGAGGGGTGGCTTCTCCTGACAGTGCTTGACAGTGCTCGCATCCCAGAGGTCACAAGCCTCCAACCCTCAGATGTGACAGCACCATTGCCTTTGGTGCTGAGGGAGCTGCTCGTGGGGATTTCCTCACAGACACCTTATTCTGTATAGTGTTCCAACTGTCTCAGGCTTCTTCATGTACCACCAGGGAAATGACTGGCCTTCTTCTTCTCTACAGCAGGAGTACTGGAGGTTAGTGGAAGAGAAGGACTGTCATGTGGCAGTCCACTGCGGAAAGGTGGACACTAATACTCATGGCAGCGGGTTCCCGGTGGGAAAATCAGAGCCCTTTTCAAGGTAATAGTCCAGACTCTTGTCCATATTTTGGGGACTAGATAGTACCCTTCCTCACCAGCTTGTTACAGCCCCCATCTTTCCCTCTGCAGGCATGGATGGAACCTCACCGTCCTCCCCAATAACACAGGGTCCATCCTTCGTCACCTTGGTGCTGTGCCTGGTAAGTATGACCATAAACACCCTGCCTTTCCCACTTTCATAGCAAAAGCAGGGCCAAGCTGGTTCTTTAAAGCACTGGTAGAGAGGCCTGGGATCTTAGGTGCAGAGTACATGTAGTGACAATATAACATTGGGAGAGAGGGAGAAAGTTTGCATTTGAAATCTGAGAAAATGTGGACTCCACTTGGGGAGCCTAGTTTAACTTGAGTATTAACCAGGGCTTTTCCAAACTGAATTCTGACTCCCAAAGGCTGTGTTTGGCTAGCAGCCACACTAAATGGGCTAAGAAGTGAAGACTGCTTCGGACTCAGGCACAGGCATCCCATGGAGGGTCTGGTTGCTGTGGATTCTTTCTCAGGCTTCCGAGACTCCCTTCTGCCCAAGCCAGGAACCTTGTATCTCACTCTGCTCACTGTGGACAGAGGCACTTATGCCAGGCCTCTGTAGCCCTGGGGCTTTACACATTCATTTCCAGCTCTAAGGGTCAACAAGCTACCCAGCCAAAATGCAGCAATAGTGGATTCAATTCTGTGTAGCAAGTGAGGAGGGGCAGGCACCTTTTTCTTGATGTGTTGTATCTGGGAGAGGCAGAACCCCATTTTTTTCCTGGAGGACACTTCTGATGGCTGTCACTCTGAAGCACGGTTGCTCTAAAATGACATCTCTTCTCTTACTTTGTAGGAGTGACTATTCCCTGGCTAAATATTGGCATGGTCTTTTCTACCTCATGCTGGTCTCGAGACCAAAATCACCTTCCATATATTGACTACTTACACACTGGTGCTGACTGCATTTGGTGAGTACTGACCCACAGCAGCAGGTGCAGCTGCCCTAGGCATCCCAAGCAACTGGTGCTGTGAAGGGCCTGATCTTGCAGCAGCTGGAAGACATGATGCACTTTTTCCCTAGCCAGGGCCCAGGCTCTCTGCTTGTGCCACAAGGGTTGCAAAGTGGCAGAAGAGGTTTTCTGTTCTTGGCCTGTTGTGGTGTTCTCTTGTGAATTGCCTCCTTAGCCAGCTTCCCTGCTGGGACCCCATTATGTGTTGTGGAATTCCCAGAGTTGATTTCATGGCAGCATTCATAGAGTGCCATGGGGAGATGGTCTGGCTGGGTAGCTTCATCTGAGTAGCCTTTTGCAAGAAAGAGCTCCAGAGCTAGTCTACCCACACACCAGATGATGCATTGTCAGAACTGTGCCCCATGAACTGGACCTCTGCATAGTGCAGTGTGTTCTCTTGGTTGGTCCTCTGAGCTCTGGTTTCTGTGTTGATAACAGCAGCAGATGGGGGTTGACTGCATATAATATGATGTCCCCTCTCATACTCTTTCAGCTTGCTGGTCTCAGTCATTTCCACTAACTGATAATTGTCCTAATGGGCTGTTGAAATATTCTTTATTAAGTAAACGGAATCTTCAACTGATGTCTCCTCTCCTCAGGAGCCCTATGGGAGCAGCTATCTGCTGGTGTGGGGTACAGGTTGTTCATGACCTAATGAGCAAGGAGGGGTCTGTGTGTTGTGTGCTCTCCAGTGTCTTGTGGGGCCTGCTGGGGTGAGGCTGGTGATATGGAGCCAGATCATAGTGGCCATGAGGCAGAGGGAAGATGGCAGCTGTGGAATGCTGCACTCTTCCGGACAGTTCTGGTTCTTTGAGAATCTATGGTTAGGGTCCCATTCACTGCACGTGTTCCTATGGCTAGCACTGCCCTGTGGCATGGTCACATGAAAATGTGGGTGTCTTAGTTAAGGTTGCTATTGCTATAATGAAACATCATGACCAAAAGCAAGTTGGGTAGGAAAGGGTTTATTCGGCGTACACTTCCATATCTCCTAAAGTACAGGAACTCAAGCAGGACAGGAACATGGAGACAGGATCTGATACAGAAGCCATGGAGGGGCGCTGCTTACTGGCTTGCTCCCATGGCTTGCTCAGCCTGCTTTCTTAGAGAACCCAGGGATAGCACCACTGATAGCACCACCCATAATAGGCTGGGTCCTCCTCCATCAATCACTAATTAAGAAAATGCCTTACATGCCTTCCTCCAGCCGGATCTTACGGAGGCATTTTCTTAACTGAAGTTCCTTCCTCTCAGATGTGTCAAGTTGACGTGAAACTATCCTGCACTGTGAGTGTGAAGTGGCCCGTGCAGTTTATTTTTAATAGCTTAGCGGTGTGAGCTGTTTAATGTGTTATATCCTTGGGCTCAGGAAAGTGGAGCCAGGGGTATGATCAGAGAACTGTAGGGCACATGGTTTTCTTACGTGTAATTTATGTTCGAAACTCAGTATTTTAGGCATGAATCAATAATGGCTTTGAAATGATAGAAACATTTAAGAAAAATGTGGATGGTACCTTCCCTTAGCAATTGAGACTAAAATTTGCCACAGAGATAAAATTGCAAAATAGACAGTTGAGTGTTGGTAGCTGGTCAAGCTTGTGGAATTGTGTCTGTGTAGAGAGCTGAGGGAGGAAGAGCTCCTGACAGCCACTGATGCCCAACAGCCCTGTCTCTCCTCCCGTGTCCTCGGTGGTAAGGGGATCTGATGGCTTCAGCAGCCCCAGGTCCTTTTAACATCCCAGTCTACTGTGGGATAGCCATTTGCCCAGGCAACAGTCATTCAGACAGCTGACCCTGCCCTGCAGCTCATAAGTAGGCTTCGGTTCACCATATTTTTGCTTACAACTTATGTGACTCAGGAGGTCATTGTGGTACAATTGGCAATTTCTTGATGCTGGGCTACTTGAGGCACTGAGATAGTGCCAGGAAAGTGTTCAACCTCTGTAATTGCTGTATGGTCTAGATTTGACTAAGTCACCTACATTTACAGCCTTTTCTCCCACTTAGGTCTCCATAAGCTGTGATCTATATGTCCCTGTCCCACAACTTTCCTCAGGGTCACTCTGTGCTCCCATGTAGGCCTCTATCCTCCTTCTCTTGTGTGTTTTAGTAAGTACAATTCCCTCAGGCTGGGTTCTGACACACTGGTGGAGAGCATGGGAGTTCTCCAGGTCTCTGTTGACTTTCCTAGTTTCCTAGCCATTGTGGCCTTGGCTGGGGAAATGAGCTGTGTGTGCGTGCACTGGGCTTGGCCCCTTCCCAGGTCTCTTCCTGGCCTGCAGCTCCAGGTCTCCCGTGGTTGCCTTGGCTTGGAGAATCCATGTACCCATGCTGTCTGGTCAGGAGCAGTATCACTAGACCATTCTTTGCAGTGTTAGAGAACTCACATAAGCTGAGGGGGTTGCAGCTGTGTTTGTTTCTGGCTTTGGTTTGAAGGCTTTTTGGCTCACCTTGTGGATCAGATCTGCATAAAGGGAGCCTAATATATAAGGCGGTGCCTGTGGTTTGGCTTTATGCTGGGCAGAAGCAGCCAGCAGTGATAGAGCAAGGCACTGGGCCAGCACCCCAGCTGCCCTGACGCTGGTCAGTGCCAAAAGTGGTCCCACCAAATGTCTCCGGTGTTTCCAATGTCCCAGGTATTGCATTCCTGCTGAAGAGGAGAACAAGCTGGAGGACGTGGTCCACACCCTGCTGCAGGCCAATGGTACCCCAGGGCTGCAGATGCTGGAGAGCAACGTCATGGTAGGTCTGTTGTCCACCTACACAGCAGGGGCTGTGGGTCCTACAGCGGACAGAAATTTATTTTGTTGTCAGCCCCTGACAGTGCTGGGTGGGGGCAGGAAGTGCTCCAAAAGTGTTGTAGGTCTAAGAAGGAGCTGCGTGCTTACCATGGTCCCTTCCTTGCAGAAACCTCTTAGACTACCACTGACTTGTGTTTCATGATTGTTTTGTTATTTTCTGAAGGAGAATTCTAATCTGGTTCTTTGAGCAGCCCCTCCATTGGGGTTCCTGGCAAGTTTCCTTATGCCATGGGACCGAGGGTTTGCCTGGCTGTTCAAGGAGGGGCATGTATCTCAGTCAACATTATCTCCCCAGATCTCCCCAGAGGTGCTGTGTAAAGAGGGGATCAAGGTCCACAGGACTGTACAGCAGAGTGGGCAGTTTGTTGTCTGCTTCCCGGGGTCCTTTGTGTCCAAAGTATGTTGTGGCTACAGCGTCTCAGAAACAGTGCACTTTGCTACCACCCAGTGGACCAGTATGGGCTTCGAGACTGCCAAGGTAAGCAGTGCAGGTGTCCCACAGGCATTGTGTGTGAATCCTGGTTCACTGAGTGTGAAGTTCATGTTGGAAAACCTTGGCTGGAAGTTTTCTCCAGGAAAGAAAGTTTTTGAAGTTTTTATCATGAAGACTCTTGATTTCCATTACTGGCCATCCCACAGTTGTGGGGAGGCCAGACAGATATACACAGGGTAAACACTTGACCAGCATCTCTGTCCATTCTGAGATGTGGTATTGCCTCATGGCTGGCAATGAGGTGCTAAGAATGGAATCTGGTGATGTTCTCCAGGTAAGCAAAGTGGCTGCACAGCTAATAGCGATAATCCAAGTCCAATTGCCACTTTAGAAATTCACAGGGCCTACCTGCCACTAGGAACCCTGACTGCTCATCACTCATGGAAATAGATCCTTTGTAAAGGTGACTCCTCTTTCAGGAGATGAAGCGCCGCCATATAGCTAAGCCATTCTCCATGGAGAAGTTGCTCTACCAGATTGCACAAGCAGAAGCAAAAAAGGAAAATGGTCCCACCCTCAGTACCATCTCAGCCCTTCTGGACGAGCTCAGGTACTGTAGACCCAGATCCCAAGACTTCAGGGGGTTGCAGGACAGGGCTGAACAGGCAGGTGACAGTTCCCAGAACTGCAGGACCCCTGAGGCTTAGGTGTGAAGGCCTTTTTGTTCTGTGCTCTTTCTCCCATTGTCTTCCTGTATTACAGTGGGGCTCTGAAGCTCTTGGTGAGCCGATATGAAGAGTGTGATCTCAAGCTGTCATTCCCCTGTGGTCATTGCTAGACTAGCCTTTCTGTAATTCTTTGTTCTAGGCTGGCTCTCTTGGCAGAGATACAGACACACATACCATCGAGTATATAGGCAGCAGCAAGATCACCTGACTATGGTGTGGGGCTGGTTTGTCCCCTTGAGTCGGCTCAGCTTGTGTCCCACTCAGGCCAGTCAGTCACTGCAGGACAGAATGTGTATTGTACATGGTTCTCTGTGTTGAACTCTTTTTTTTTTTTTTTTTTTG